AGAATCAACAGCGACGTATCAGTCCAAACAGCATCGGAAACGCAACGCAGCTGATCGACGTCGTCCGAGGTGCACTGGACTCGAATCAGGTGACGGCCACGTCGCCGGAGCAATGGCGATGATGCAACAGCAGCGCTTTCCTCGACGGCCGAGCTGCAGGCCGCCGTGGTACAGTACCCGAACAAGGGCGAGACGGATAAGCATGTAGGGGCGGGTATTTTCCGGGGTCGCACTGCCACCGTAGGATCAGGTCAGGGCCACCAAGTCGCAGCAGATGAGTGCCTCGAAAGAGAGGAGAGGATGATCCAAGGCATACAAAGTATAACCGTGGTCCGAGAAAGCGACTGCCGTGCTGCGTTGCGGAGGGTCATGGTCGGCTTAGCTGGCTTCGAGGAGGTCGATGTCGAAATGGCGATGGCCGACTTCGACGAGACCGCAGACGACGTAGAGGCGGGAATGCAGGCTTGGCGGGCAGAGAGTTGGCAACACGGCCGACGCTGAACAAAACGCAGTCGATCGCTTTCCCAATCATATGCTGCCAGCTCGATTTGATGCGACAAAACGACGGAGGCGAAGTCGGCCAACTCTGCCAGTTCGTCGGTGGCGAGGGCAGGACTGGCAAGTCGCGAATCATCGAGGCATTCGTCGAGTTGTTCAGTAGGAGGAGCCTTTCGAATCGCCTGCTGATCACGGCGACATCAGGGACTGCCGCAGCGCTCATCAACAGTATCACGATCCACTTCCACCTGCGGGTTCTCCAAAGACTAAGGGGCGGCCGCGAACACGGCCAGAGATCTTGTCGAGGTGTGACTGCCAACCAAGCGGACCGGCTCGTCCATGGCCAGTCTCGGATGGATTGGCGGGAGAAAGACGCACTGGTCATACCATGCGCCATCTTCGTCAGAACATATTTCCATGTTATACCGGGACGCTGATCTATGAGCGGAGAATTGTTGCAACGCCGTGGTAGAGTGATGGTGAAGTCAAGAGGTTGGCGGAGGACTGGCATGACTAGATCACCAACTGTTGTAGAGGCGAGTGGCGGGAACGGGTTGGTCGAGGAAACTCGGGTGTCGCTCCTAGACCCTTCCGCTGCTGCCTGGTGCTCGGCGCCAGCTCACTTTCTGGCTGCAGTGAAGTCGATTTTGCTTACCAAGAAGGGTTGCAGTCCTTACAGCTCAGTACTACCAAGCAGCCAGAAGCTAGGATGCTGTCAATCGCCCAAGACGAGGACTTGCTGCACTGTTGTGAAGCCAGAATCGGCCGCAGGTACGGTAACGGGAATCCAGGCACCCATGATGAGCGGAAGGGTCTAGGAGCGACACCCCGCGTTTTCTGTACCCAGCCTTCTCCCCCGAACTTCTCTTTTGCGACAGCTGGTAATTTTGTCCTACAGTACCAATCATCCGCCAACCACTCACTTGAGTTCACCATTATTCCGCCATAGGATAGAGCCGCTACTAGATGTCCAAAGGCACATGTTCAAAGGCTCATACCGGCGGCACAATCACAACCGCGGCCAGCCAAGTCCCTGCGAGCAGAGTCCCCCTGCCTGGCCGACCCCTGCCAGAAGTATCGCTTCCCAGAAAATGAGGCAATGACAACGACAATAACGACGACTTCGAAAGCGGTGTCGATACTCAGGCTGACAACCCGAGGGCACGGCCCCATCTAAGCTTGAAAGCTCTCACAGGACGACAGCCTCGCACAAACCAGCAAGCGTCAGGCAGTTGTATTCACCGGCGAACGACGATGACACCTCGCGCGAGCCCAGCTGCGTTTCCACTACAAGCGGAGACATGGGAGGCGTTACAATGACTGCCTGGCGGGGCTATAGAGCTTTCCAACCGATCAGCGGGAGCAATATTTGCCTTTACAAGTTCCATTATACGTGCTATCTCGCACTGAATGATCGCCTCTTCATTACGCCTGTTGGCCCTAACGGGGCAAGTATCTCTCGATACTGGCATGGGTGCAGAGGAGCACGCAGGCCATTGGACCATAGACCGGCCGCCACGTCTGGGAAACGACTTCATCCACTGATCCATCATCAGTCAGATTGATACCGCTTCACAAAGCCGCAGACGCTTCTGATTGGAGCACATTGTCACCTCATCGTACATCTCTCGGCCCGGAGGCTTGCTAGGCGGAGCCTACGGCGGTATGGCGGCGAGCCAGTCGTGGACAGCAGTCAGTGCGGCGGGTGGAGGGCTGCCAGCTCAAAGGTCTGCTCGGCGATGAATTGCGACGTGACGGCGCGGTCTAGAGCTAGCCTCTAGATGGTAGCCAGATACGCCGGACGGAGAATGGCTTGGGCTTCTGGATTTGCGTCTCGTATCACACCATTTCCGGGCTGCCCACAGCGACTCGCATACCCGCAGGAGAACGAAAATAGGCGGAGGTGCCCTAACCACATACATGGCGAAGTTCCATTGCGCCGACATCACAGGAACGACATCCGTGTAGGAGAAGATCACGAGATGTCCTTAGGCGAGGGTTTGCCTATAAAGACCATACATTCCGACTCCATGTGTCTTCGTCTCCTCATCCTACCTCTACACTATCCTCGTCACGTATTTCCATCCTTCTCCACTCTCTCCCCGTCCACAGCGCCATGGCAAGTAAAGAAGCAAATAGCGACAAACTCACCGGCTGGTCAGCCCGGGGTGGAGAGGGTCAATCCGGGCCGAAATATATTCGCGAATACAATGTCGACGACTCCAGTTGTGATCCCGTTTTCGAAGGTCACATCGAATTGGAAGAACTTACCTATGTGAACGAGGCACTTAAATCCTGCCACATGCCAGCAGACAGTGGAATCGATCATGTCGGCTGTAATGAAACTGCCGCTGCGAGCACTACTTGTACATGTGGCAGCCTCTTTGCTGTGACGGACCGCAAGATCAGAGACCTTTGCTACAACGAGCACTGCGAAATTCGAAATCAGCTGGCCGACATCAGCTCCGTCTCGGCGCCTTAGAAGCTCAACTTGCCAATAGCAAACCCGTCTGTCAGGAGTGCCACAGCACCAAGGATCGCAAACGGCATGCCAAACAGGACCCGCAGCAGCAGCGAGACCAGCCACCTCATGGGCCCGCAGAGCAGGCGCTGGATGACGAACCACGCGCGCGTCGCCGAAGCGGTGGAAGGCATCGGAAGACTTGCCCAGAGGGATCCTCATCGGTTACGACGAGATGTTTGAGATGCTCTGCAACCCCTATCAGGCGTGTAGGGATTGGCGGGTTTGTCAAGTATGAGTACAACGGATCACAATAGTCTGCTAGAGCCTAGTCGTACTGTACGGTTTGCAACGAGACGCAGCATTTGTTGCAGATACGAGTGGGATACTACTTTCTGGAAATAGCGCTGGGGCAGAGATCAAGTGACAATATACATGCGCCGGTTGCCGTGAAGCCGTTTTGGGTTGGCACAGGATGCTAAGGAGGTCGCATTCGAGCGTCCAGCCGTGAACATGTTTTGCCGTTCATGGCTATTGCGTTGCGAGGCCAGTAGTCCCACCCTAACCTTCGAACTAGAGGTGCCGAATCCAGTCACGACAAATAACTTGGTAAGGCAGAATGGGTACTTATGTCGCAAGGGCTGTCAGCCGCAGCGACGAGATTCACGACGTCGTCATTAGACGGAGCAACCCACCCGCATGCTACAAGTCTGAGTTCGCCTCGAGGGCCATAGATGCAGTGGAAATGGAGCAGGGAGGACATCGTTTATAAGTTGGATTACGACTCCCTCCGCTCATCCCAGAGCTTGTGCTAAGACTCATTCCGTCATACATTCGCCATCCTCTGGTTGAACAGCCCTGGACTACAAATATTCAGCCAATATGCCATTTCCGTTGCATCTCTTATGTGAACTCCTCAGTGAACTCGAAAGAAATCACACGAGGTCTTTCAGTATTCAGAAGACCCAGGACTTCGATGTGCGCAGTCTTGTTGGCTGGTTCGACAAACATGATACAGCCATCCCACGTCTAGGGTCAGAAGCCGTGGCATTCTTGTCATGCCTCTTTCCCGAACGCAGGCCGGACCGAGTTTTCGGCTTGTCAAAAATTCAGCTCGAAAGGATTGTCCAACAAGCACAATGTCTTGGATCGTCCCGAATGAAGGAGCTACAGATATGGCAAACCAGGAACGGCCCGGACTTCGCAACTTGTGTTGAGCGCGTTATGGCTATAACGGACTGCGAACCAAGGATGGGTCCGAAAGTGACTCTGCAAGAACTTGACGATGTGCTCGATCGGATTGCAGCCTTCTCACCTTTCTCGTCCGCTGATCTGCGAGAAGAAACTGAGCGGAAATACCGTCAACCCTGCAGCAGCTCGGACGATCTGCTCATCAGTTTGTTCCGAAGATTGAACAGCTTTGAGGCCAAATGGCTGGTTCGCATGCTATCCAAAACTACAATCCGGCCTCTGTCCCAGAAAGACTGGCGATGGGCAGATTTCATCCGTTTTTGTGGAATCTCCTCCGTTTTCAGAATTCAATCCAAGTTGCCGTAAGTATCCTAGGGGGACTTGAGATCCGGAATACACCCCTACAGGCCGTGGTAAATCCCTGGGAAGAGTTGAGGAAAGTCCTACAGCCGCAGGTTGAGTCATGATTGAACGGCCAGCTTATGCGAAAGCAAGGAGCATCAAGCATTGCTGCCACTTGGCTGGCTCAAGACTAATGAGCGTGGAGCGTAAATACGATGGAGAATACTGTCAACTTCATGTTGACTTAAGCAAACCCGGAGCCTGCATCAAAATATTCTCCAAGAGTGGGAGGGACTCTACCATCGACCGCATTGGCCTTCATCGCGCGTTACGAGAAAGCCTCGACCTTGGCACGGCAGGCTGCAGGATCAAGAAACAATGCATACTGGAGGGCGAGCTGCTGGTATGGAACGACGACAGTAGGGTAATCGAGCCCTTCCACAAAATTCGTAAACACGTCAGACGATCAGGACGGCTCCTTGGAGCGGCCCAAGACCCCCCATTCAATATGAATGAACATCTCATGATTATGTTCTACGATCTTCTGTTGCTGGACGACACGGTCTGCGCTAGAAAAAGCCATGCTAAGCGGCGACGACTACTTCGGTCTCTGGTTCGCCGGATCCCTGGTCTTGCCGAGGTCGGGTTCCGCGAAGTGGTTGCATTCTCCTCAGCCAATGCTGCTGAGCGGCTCACTGAACTATTCGCACGAGCCATTACACAACGGTGGGAGGGACTGGTGCTGAAAGGTTGCAACGACCCTTACTTCACCTCCGATTGCGACAAGTCATCCATCAAACTCAAGAAAGACTACATTCCAGGCCTCGGTGACTCTGCCGACTTCACTATTGTCGGTGGCAACCATAGCGCGGAGGACGAACAAGAGATTGGAATTGGCAAGCTCTGGTGGACGTCGTTTTTTATCGGATGCATGGAAAATAAAGATGAGGTCTGCCGTTATAATTCTAAGCCAAGACTTCGCATCATCGACATCATCGACAAACATGGCATCCCGAAAGACCATATGCAATATCTCAACCGACATGGATATTTCACACAAATACCCTTCATTGAGTCCACGCCAAATTTTGACGTGGTCTTGGACCCCGACCGTGGACTACGCCCAAAGGCGTTATTTCAGCATCCATTTATAGTAGAACTCGTGGGATCTGGCCTCGACAAGCCCGCAAATGCACGGTACTATACTCTACGGTTTCCACGAGTGTTGAAGATACATGGCGATCGCTCGTTCACTGCTACCACTAGCTTCGACGAACTGCAGGAATGGCTCAAAAATGCTCAGAGATACCTGACAATTGCGAGGGGAAGAAAATTCTTGGCTAAGGAGGTTGCGAGGTCACAGGCACTGGCTTGGGTCATCAAGCCTTGGGACATCAAGGCGATCTCCTAGCGTCGATTCAGTTTCTTTGGACATTCAAGCCACCAGCCCAGATCAGAGGCAACAGGAAAACGGGGAAGCGGTTGAGCTCCGAGCCCTGATAATATTTCCGTCGATTCATCGAAGAGAAGGGTGGATTCGGACAGTGCATGGCATAGTACAGTCAAACGCGTAAAACAGGACTAGAAAATATGTGTATGCATATTGAAGACTTACGCAATGGGTGGGTAATTATCAAGATTCGGCGTTTGGCAAGAGAGCAAAAGCACTGTGGCTGCCTTGTCCAACGGCGTTCGAACCCGGTGAGGCGATTGCCTTGCTACTTGTACCGTACTGAAGCGCGCCCGCAAAAGACCCCGGCCGATGCGAGAACCCGTTAAGTTACAACAAGACTCTGTCGAGTCTACTCTGCATCACCATAACTCGGTAAGATATCCTCGAAGCATCTTCTCTATGGATGAGGCCATTCGACGGTTGGAGCTCATCTCTGCCAGCAATTGGCTCGCGTGGGCCATTATGGGCACTTTGGCGGCAGTCGGGGAGGGGGACACGTCTTGATAGGTGCTAAACCCGTCCACGCTTGAAACATCCGAGATGGTCGCCAAGGACAACTTTCTTGGTTGGAAAGGTTGCGAGCCAGCCAAGGCCACAGAGTTGCATGTTGACTCAATTGTAAGCCATGCAAGGGCAGAGGCACAAACAAAATAGGGGACGAATGGGAGACGCGTCTAAGGGTGAAGAGCCTGCTGTAGGACTGCGACAGGGTGAGGATAGAGTCCGCAGCCTGGAGACAGATTTCGCGGGGTCGGACGTCGGAATCAGCCAGGACAAGGTTGGCGAGAGGGCGGAACAGGCAGAGTAGGCAGAACTGATAGTACATGCTACATGCGGGCAGTCAGCCGGATAATGCTGTCTCTTCTCCCTCTGTGTCTCTCGGCCCTCCCGAGTCCTGTGAGCCGGGTTCTTGTGTCTGTGTACATACTTGTTGCGATTGAACTTGCTTCTATTCAATTCTGTCTGACAGCTCTCAACATATATACATAGTGGCACGTCCGTGCCACTATCCAGTGACTCACCACTTGTAAGTGCTGCCTAAACATGTCTTGGTCCATGTCTCATACCAAGTCAACACTGGATAAAGAGTACAAAGGGTGTCACTGCCGCCGGTTTTGGGTAGGAGAAGAATCCTTCGTACCAATCGAGACACTCGGTATACACTGCCATGACCTCGGCTGTGTCGAATCGTCCGTTTGGGGTATGGGTTGCTGATGAGAGGAGCTTGTACACCCATTCCGTGAGCTGGAAGACTCTTGCTGGAATGAGCTGTAGACTGCGCAGTTGCGAGCCGCGTGCTTTCAGGGCAGGGTCTGCAGCCGTGTTACGGTGCGACTCCTGATTGGATACAATTCCTGGGTATACCTAACTTGATGCATTCACCTGGTGTAGTTCCGCTGCCGCACTGGCCGCCAAACAGGTACTCGGCACTGCAGGCGGATTGGTCTAGAAATATTGAGTCGTCTTGTAGCTTGCAACTCGTAGACATGGTGAAGACTTGGCCCGTCGTGAGACGAAGTATGCTGTGTGCGGAATCCCATCAGTTTATGCTTCGGAGGAGTCGGGAACAGGGGCTGCAAGCGGTTTACAGACCGAATCAGGGACACGGCGCCGCGGTACGAAGTAGCCCAAACTTTGGCATACTTCTCGGCCTCGGAGCCCATCAGGGGCTCTTGAGGACAAAGATTGACTATCCTAGCGGCAAAGGAGTCGGCAAGCGCTTGAGCTTCGGCCTCGCGCCCGCAGGTAATCTGGTAGAGCGAGAGAATCCCGATGGCCTGTATATCTGGGAGGTTGGCCGAGGGCCGGTTCTGCGGATAATGGCCTCGGCCTTGTCGAAAGTGGTTTGCTTCCGCACTTGAAGCCAGGCCCCGGGCTCTCCGCTTCGTCGCTGATCTCGTGGACCACCCGGGTTGCCAGCGCGATGAGCGCGTTTACCAGGGCAGAGGAGCAGTACCGGCTCGAGCCGCTGCAATAGTCTCGGAAGAAGGGTCCTTGCACATGAGGCAGAAGGGAGGTAGTCCCAGGTGAGGAGGGCGTCGAGGATCTGCCGAACCGAAGCCACCGTACACCCGGCGCACGTCCACCTGTCGGTTTGCGCGTGTGATGCATCGTCAAAGGGCAATGACGGGGAAACAGGAGCCGCCAGGGCCGGTGTCGAAGTCGCCTTGGGAGCCTCGGTCAGTGTGCTGAGGTCGCTCGAGCCCGAGGCAGAACGGTGCATGGTGGGCGACGGCAGTCGGCTCAGGCAGTGCGGGCAGACGGCTTCGTCGAGAATGGAGCTGGAAGAGCCCGCCGATGATTCCTGTTCACCTCCATCTGACGAGCCACGCCCGTTTTCACCGTTCAGGTGCGCCAGCTCCTGCAGAATGGCTTGGTGAGACTTGGTCCCCTCGACCAAGTATTGTATAAAGGCATTGCTGACTTCGACGTCGTTGATTGAACATATTGCGCGGAGTAGTCGGTCATGCTCCTCGTTGTACCGCCGTAGACTATCGATCTCGGCCCGTAGATCGTCTTTGGACTTGCGTCGCGGGTGGTCGTATACGCGTCCTTCTCCGGCCTCGTCGCATCTTTTGCACGGTGCCTGGCCATCATCACACTAGAGAGCGAGAAACCAATCAGTGAAAGTATCCAGCTAGGCAGGATATGGGATGAGACAGACGACTGGGGCTCTTTGGGCTTTGGCTTCGTGTGGGCTATCGACTGACCTTTGCTCGTTTCTTGCGGCACCTCTGACAAGCCATTCGTATCAGCATTCGACGGGGCATTGTCTTTGCTGCCAAGTGCAGTAGGGGCCCGTGGAAAGGAACCGCCTCCTTATGTAAGGTACGCCTATCGTGCCCGGGGCCAGTCGAGGTCAGACCCTGAGGTATCAAGACAACATGGCTTAGGCGTCACGGCGAGATGGTGGTCAGGGCCGCGATCGCCACGTGCTGTCCATGGCAAGGTTTAACGTGCCGGCCCCGAGGCATGTTTGTGCATACGTACATGCATATATATCTTGTATTTATGTATGTATATATGTATGTACATATGGTTGCCCTGGTCTGCATGAGCTCGGAGTAGAGGGGAACAAGGTTTGGTGTTTGGGTCACTACAGCACCGACGTGCTGCAACACAACATCGCAGACGTCATGCCGACCTCGATGGCGCGCAGGTGGGTCGCTTTACATTTTGTCTTGCCTTGTCTCGTCTTTGTCCCCCCGTCATGTCGTGGCGGCCCAAACTAATTGGCAGGGGTAGTTCGAGCACGATCTCACTGCAGCCGATCATTAGCCCAAGGGCGGGGGGTCTTTAGACCCCCACTTGTAAGCTTACCCCTGACTCGTATTGTGTGTGACACACCGCCACTAGCTCGAGGCAACCCCAGGTACGGATACTCAGGATACTTTATGTTACGAAAAGTTGGAGCTACTGTCTAATGATTCAGATGACACTAAGTATCTGGCTTCGCGACACCTCTATGTTATGTCAGACATGTTTGTCGATAGTGTAAGTGCGCCTCACCAATCGTGACTTACGACAGCGCCATTTCCAGAGGGAAACGCGCATGCTAAGTTACCGCTAGGTGTGAGGCGCCCTTGCCTAATACGGCTAGACACATGGAAGATAAATATCGCGCATAGAACGATTAAGGGGGTCCTGGTTTAGGGCCATGCATAGGTGATGATTCGTTTAAGAAGGGTGCCCTGCACATGGGGATCGTTGGTCAGCAGCGTCCTGCATCTTTTGCTGCAGGTCATCAATCCTACCACCTGTTCTGCCTCCATGGCGTAGTGGTGACACGTCTGGAGCCTCTGCGTCGCAGAGGGGTCGGTTCGAAGCCGGCTGGAGGCACCCCTGAGCGAACAGGGTACACCCGGGTTCCCGCCCGTCAACAGGGAACAGCGTCATGAGAGAACACAATCGGCGTACCAACCACCATCAATGACTAACACAACCACGCTTCAACTTCGACACATCGCGCTTCAGTTGCTGGGAATAGGATGCTGAACACTTGGAGAAATTGACCTTCAAGCAGGTCTGTCATGAAGCGAACAGTGGAATGGTTGGCGCAGCGTAAGATGATATGTGGGGCTTGGGGTGTCATGCATCAGTGTATCGAACCGTCAATAGCCAGAGCGTCTAGGCCCTATAGGGACCCTCCGGGCGGAATAAATCCATACCATTCCATACCACCTGTTCTCGGATGGCTGCCGCCACAGCCCAGAAAGGATTAGTTAACCATGAAATTGCACTGCCGGCCGAATCGCGCTTCTGCTTCACCCGACATTCTCGAGATGGTTGCAATATGTACACAGCAATGACCTGACGTCTTCGTTCTACGAGCTGCTATGCCGCAGCCACAGTGTGCTTCCACCTCTTAGCACTTTTTCTGCCAGATTTTTGCGTTGTACCAGGCACTACGCCCTCTTCTTGAGATGGCTGCGTTTAGAGGCATATGGAGAAACCCGAAGGTGGGCGTAGTGGAGGGTCTCGTGGCAGCAGCTCGGTTGGAGCGCGATGAAGCGGGATAGTGCAGAAGTACTTTAAAGTAGAGCTAGAGAGAAGAGGAGTGAAGGCGAGGGTGGGAGATGTGGGGTCTCGGAGACGTATGCGAGAGAATGGTCAGGGGCCACAACTTGCGTCACCAAACCGCGTCCTTTTTGGGCGCATTTCAGCGACACTACGGCACAAACCGCGATGACGTTCGAGGTGCGGCAAGGGGCTATTTACCTACCCCAACCTCCAGAATTGCCGCTTTTGGCGGCTCCAACACTGTCTGTTGATCTGAAACGTGCTTGTGAACTACGCCCAGAAGAAGGTTAAGACATTTTTCGTTTCTTCTGCGACATAGGCTTTTCCGGCTCTCCGCCCGCCGAGCCAAGAATATAGCGTCTAGATTGGGCAAAAGCAGGCTCAGGTAAGTCTGGTGGGCAACGGTCGTGGACATGCGCGAGTAGTTCATACTCCTGTGGAGCTAATGAGCGCCGAAGTGCTCCTTTATTGTCCTGACTGGCTTACTATGTAACATAGTGTACACTACAGTACTATTTCCGTTTGAGCTGGTCTTTTACCAGGAGGAGGCAGAATTCAGCCGGGCAGGGAGGGCTTTGCACAAACTTCATGCATGTTTCGAGAGACGGCGCACGTCTGGATGGCGTCATCTTGTCCTCTTAGTAGAAGCGATTTTGACCAATGAGAACTGGAGCTTAGAACATCAATAACTCTGGGCTGCGCGTATGATTGGTCAAGTGACGCCAAGCTGCATCAGAGGCTGTGCACCTGATGGCCGTTAGGACCTGCGGGACGGAACAGAGTGAGTCAGTCAGTCACAGATCGTAAGAGACAGGGTCACACAACAAGGGGCACGGTTGGTGTGGATGACTGAACAACGATCGGGAAGAAGATCCCCTGTGTATCGGGCAACGAAAGACTCTTGATTCTCTATCTAAGTGATGGTGAAAAGTTGGCTTCTTATACTTGGAATTTTGGGCTGAGTGGCGATGTCGCCACCTAGGCAGCATGTAACAGGCTAGGCCCTGCTGGACAAGGCAGTGCCTTGTCGGTCTAAGCACTGTTGCTCCAGTAACGGCTTAGTCTATTTTGTTGGAGGATTTCTGTCCTTCTATTTTCCTTTCCTTCTTCTTTCCTCAGCTCGAATGTAGAACGCACGAGGACTACATAGCTGTAATTTACACTATTAGAACCCATCACACAGCATAGATGACGATGTCACCTAGAAGGTTCGAATCCATCACTAATATGGCATTACGAACTGCTTGCTGCCTTTTAGGCAGCACCGTGAATGAGCGTCTTGATCTTGACAGGGCGGTAGAAACCTTTCGCCAGAACGCAAGTACGGTACGGTCAAAGCCTTGAGATGTACCTACGGCAAGCAACTGCCAACTGGTAAGTTAATTTTCTCCTCGATGCGTGATACTGTAATTTCGCATCTCGAATTTTGTTATTTGAAGAGTTCAAAGAGCATGAGAGGAGTATCTGCAGATTATGGAAGGGCCGGAAAAATTACACGATATGTATTTCGCGCAGCATCGAAGACTGTGAAGCGTAGACTGGTACACCAGATTCCTAAATACGCTACAACTTGGCGACGCGTGTAAGCCAGGATATCACAAGTATTGCGGCAGCGAAAAATGCAGCGGCTGTACAATGTTCGTTCAACCGCTTGGCAGTGGCTTATTCGATGCTCCACACGCCGGAGCGGGCAACCCAGGGCAGCTCAGGGCAGCTCAGGACAGGCTCAGGCGGCTCAGGCAGCTCAGGGCAGATCAGGGTAGCTCAGCCCCTGCTCAGGGTAGCTCAGTCCCTGCTCAGGTTCGGCACGTACTTACTCAAGGTGGATCAGGTGGTGTTAATGGAAATACAATAGAGTGTGAACTTTCAAGGGTAGACCATGATTGCTTTGTCGCGCGGCTGGAATAGATCTGAGGAGCGTGTATCCTGAAGCTTCGGGAGGATTCTCGCGGCCAGCCCTTCATGGCAGACTGGTTGCTCGCTAGCTTGCTGGGAAAAGGTAAGATAGCTGCGTGCCTCCCCTAGGTAACTGTTAAAGGCACCACGATAGCCCAATTGACCTCCATCATGCCGTAAGAAGTAATGAGCAGGCAAACATTCGAGGAGCAAATTGACGTTTTCAAGAATGCTCGTTCCTTAGTTACGTTGTGTTCTAGTCACATTGACGATCGATGCACTTCCCGCGACTGAGAGCCGATACGATGCCGCCCACGTGGTTGTCCTTGACAATTGGTTTGTTGCAAAGGACGCTGGACGCTCGATCATGCACGTCTTTTATCTAGGTGTGGATTTTTAGGTGGCCCGACGGCCGTTCAAGCGAAAGACAGAATTAATGTTTAACGACGATTACGCCAATACACATTGGAAGAGGTAGGAGCCAAGTACACAAGTTGTTATGAAGATCTAGAAGGTGCGGCCCAACGGTCCTATTTATGCCGTTGGGTAACTTCCATGGGCACCAAATTAGCCATACACGTGAGGTCACTATAGGTCCTGATACATGGCCTTATAATGATCTTTCAGGTGGTCCTTGATAACACCTAATAGCCTAACACTCCGACATTCCTCGTAAGAACGATTGGAACACTTCCACCGCAAAGTTCCTCTATCACCACCGCGCGAAAATGGACGTCAACTAGAAGGCTGAAGCTCGAGGAACGTAAGTTCTCCTTGTCTCATACTAAAAGAAAAGATATTCTCCTGATTAGGGAAGTCTGGTTGAGAACAAGGTGACTGCTTTAGCCACACACATAGATTTCGCGCGATGCAGGTTGACCGTGGAGATACCAAGCGATACATTCGATTTGCTACCTTGCAGACCAACAACTTCGATTGGTCAAAAGGCATAGCTTAGGACACTGTTCCGTGTATTCGTAGAGCATGGTTCCGCAGATGCTCCATATGGTCCAGTGGCAAATCGCAGATCGAACATCTAATCTCATCGCCCTCGCGTAAATTCGACAAGTGCTTGCGTCGGAAGTGCTTGGACAGGTCTCCAGGAGTGTAAAACTCGCGAATGAGAACCTCCACGGCCCCATCATCTGATGTCAAATCAAGGGCCTTGCCGACACAGATGAAGCATCTTCGAGGCCTGTCCGTGACTGTCTTAATGAAGGTGGACATCAGAGCCGTGTGTTGAGGGCTGTTGATAGGCGGTTCGTTCATGAGAGTAGGCCTAGTTGAGTCGACCGACGCTCGAGCGCCGCGGATCGTCTGCCCTTCCTCGACCATACAATAAGCTACGATGGCGGCGATAGCATTGTCTCTCCGTCGATATTGACCTTCGAGCGTGTTGCCAAGTGGAGCGGCGAGGGCCTCAACCAATCGCTTTTGAGCCGGTCGCTGAGGACAAATGGGAGTGTTCACAGTCGCTTGTTTGACAAACCCAATACCTTGCAATTGCCCCTCAATGTCGTCCACCGCCTGTCTGGCAGTCCATTCATCTCGAATCTTCTGCTTAAGCACCCTCTTCAATCTTTGCTTCTCGTTCCTCAGTCGACGGCGGAGTTCCATGTGCTTCTTTGAACCTGGGCGATGATGCCGAAGGTCTTGCTCTAGTCGCTTGATGATAGGATCAGTAGACACGGATGCTATTTGTTCAGCTGTGAGATCCGTGGGTCTCCGCTTGCTGATAGAGTGGCCGACGCTGCAGGCCTGCCTTATGAGCGCCTGCTGTGGTTTTTGTCGCCGGAGAATACCCCAAGTATCCGCGCAAACCTCCCGTCCCAGGTAGTGCTTCTGAAAGGGATTCGAATTGGCGTGATCTAGAGCAAGATTTCGCAGCGACTCGCTGATATCGGCTGAAGCTGGAGTAAGCAACAAGGCTATCGTGATTGGAGGACTTGACGAACCACTTCGATCGAACTCATTGGCCGCATTATAACGCAAGTTGTAGGGGATGGTGGGGTATTCCAACCCCAATATTTCGCCAACCCTTCTGATCCATTGTGCAATCATCTGGTAAGAAAGAGGCTTGTCCTGGGATAGCTCATAGCCGGTAAAGGTTTTCATAGCCCGTCGGAATATATATGTGTCTTTAGATCGTCCTTGAGCGGCAGAGGTAGCTCCCGCTCCTCAGGGTGGATATCAAGATTGGCAAGCTGTGCGGGTGAATTGAGACTTGTTGCTCGGAACGCGCGATGGCGGAAAAGAATGCCTAGCAGGAAGATGTGAGGATTGAGTAGCAAGGAAGGGTCGGCCAAGGTCTCTGGAAGAGGAAATGTTTTCCTAGATTCGCGTCAGTGCCATATCCTACGAGCAGATGAAGCACGGCGTTTCTGGCGTCCTTACGCATCTTTGACACCGAGGTACGTTTTCGTGAAGGCTAAGGTGAAGCGAATCAAAATATTATGCGGTCCACCTTCTGGGTCTTTCACCAGTGCGAGCCGGATGTCTCCAAACCGGAGACGCAGGATGGATGTGGGGCGAGCTCCAGCGGGTGCAAGAAGAAGGAGAAAGAGAACAGCAAGGATCCGAAGTTCCCCAAGCCTGAACGATTTTTTTGTCGTGCTAATTGTCGTTTCGATTTGCTCCTTGAGATCTTCGATCGTCATGCATCGATTCGCTCGCCTCTGGTCGCTCAAGTCATGTTTTTTGGAGAGGTCTCGGAGAACCTGCAGGGTTACCTTTTGACCTATTATTCGGAGGGATCGGGCTGTACCTTGTGCATACGCCGATTTAGTTTCTGGTCGAGTTTGTCTCCAGTGGCTCTCTCGAAGACGAGTCGGAAGACTTTCCAGTATGTGCTCAAAGAGCTGCTCTTCCTCGTTCCTCGCCTTTTCCTGCCATCCTTACCGACCTTCTGGTTGAGGGACCAGTCAAAAAAGTTATACAAAAGCCGCAGGGAGCTGGACTCGGAGACAGACTCCAAACATTTTTGGGGGTCACAACCCAGCACCTCGCAGTACCTGAGGTAGGACCATTACATGTTAGAGGCTGGGAGTCATAAGGGACATGATGTCGTTGGTGACGTACTGGCGCCATTGTGCGTCGCAGGCATCGAGGAGCAGTAGACTACCGTCGCTATAGTCTTGAGCTTCGTAGGCGGTCTCGTTGAATTTCTCAACGGCTTCCCGGTAGTACTCAGGTGGATGAACGTTGCCACCGAAGAGCTGGACTTGGTCTTCAACGTCAGCGTCGACGAATCCGTCTGCGTCATCGAAGTTCAAGTCCTCTACATCCGTTGCCTCCGCATACGTATCCGAGTGAAGGGCTCAACTTTGTCAAAGAGACCACCATCGTCAAATTCGTTCTCGGGGGAGTAAGACGCGTCCGAGTCGTAAGAGATGGCGGAATGGCGTGCTCGGCGCGTCATGGTTGACAATGGATCGTATAAGTCAGCGGGATGCGGCTTTCCGTGAGCTGGCAAGAGGAAAGAGTTTCCACAGTAATGCTTGGTTGTGTAATAGGTAAGATGCTACCAAAATTTGAGGCGGAGTAAGAGCTTCTTAAGTATGACCTATGCGACGCCACCGTTCTGAGCGCTTTGTGGCTCCTTCTTTTGAGGCTAGAAAGAGGTGTCGGAAAGGCACACAGCTTAAACGGGCCGCGGAGGCGTCCCGGCGTGGCTCTGCGGGCTGAGCATGATGGGTGACATGCCAAGTACATCGGAGATACTTGGAGGGATGAGCCCGGCGATACATTTGTCCGTTCTCGCTCTGGATTCCTGGCAAATTGGCCGCCACCTTTGGTGGCAGAGACCGTCCAAACGGGTGGTAAATCCGCCGTCTCATAGTTTATTAGAGTAAATTATTATAGGCTTTAGCGATATAAATAAAAATAGTAACTAAACTAATAGATATAAAATCGATTAATAAGACTTATATACTAACTAATATAGCTATATAACTTAGTATCTAATATAAATAGAATAAAGGATATAATATAAAGATTTAAAGAGTTATTACTACTTTAAGGAAAGACCTTAAATAAATTAATAAAGAGCTTAAGTTAAGAGAAACTAGCTTTTAAAAGAAAGAATAAAGCTTATAAGATAGAATAAAGAATATCCCTTAAGAATACTAAAAATATAATAAACTCTTTAAGGAAGAACTTAAGATAGGGCTATTTAAATATAGCTAATAAGACTATAAAATTTATTTTAAGGATAGAATAACGCTAATATTCTATAAGATCTATAACTTAAATAAAAAGTAACTATAAACGCTATATAACTACCTTTATAAGAATCTATAAAAGGGATATATATAAACGTTAATATTTAAAGTAAGCTACTTAATTATATTTATTTTAAAGAAAAATAGTAAGCTATAACTAATTATTAACTATAGACGCTTAAATAATATTATAATAAAGGACTAAATACTATTACTACTTATATTAGAACTATAAGATCGACTATATAGTAAAAAATAGTTTATAGCCCTTAACCTTAAAGGCGCTTATAACTTAATATATATAAAAAAGGGATATAAATAGATAATAGCCTTTAAAACGAAATTTAAACTATTTAAATATCTAGTAATACTATTTAAACTTATAAATATACTAGCTACCTTTTAACGGATAATTAATAATATCCTATATAAATACTTAGATATCTTTATAGTAGTATACTTAGATAATATCCTAATTTTCTTAGATACCCTAGAAGAATATAAAGAATATATTTATAAGGTACTCTATATACTTTAAAATATAAAGTTACTAGTTAAACTAAAGAAAAGTAAGTTTTATATATAAAAAGTAAACTTCCTTAGATATACGATCTTACTAAGAAAGATATAAATATAATAAGATAAGATTAACTTAATTAAAGAATAGCTAATACTAAAGAACGTTAAGGATATATAAAGTTTCCTAGGATTTATAAATTACTACTAACGATTTATTAAAGATTTTAAAAAGATTATAATACTATTATATAACTTAATAAAAAAGGAAAAAGAATTTATATAGGACGATAAAGCTAATAAAGCTTTTAAATATATTAAAACTATAATTATATAAGAACTAGTCTTAACTACCTTTAATCTAAAATAATAAATTAAACTTAAAACCGATATATTAAACTTTACTTTAAAAGTATAAATTAAATAAAAAAATAATAAAGAAAGACTATAACTAATTATATTTTACTTAAAGAAGCTATATAGTATAGAACTTAATTACCTTATCTATAATAAAGAATTCTATATAATTATTTAAGCTTTTAATGAATTTTAATACTACTTTCTTAAAAGTAAATATAAAGTTAAGGTCTATATAGATTATAAGAATATCTTATACTTTATAATAATATAATAGTTAAATAGACGATAGATTTAATAAGCTAAATACTTATTAGAATTTAACTATAAAATAATTTATAGAAAAGGAACAGAAAACGGTTAAGCTAATACCCTTAGTTAATAAAGTAACTATAATATAAGGGCACCTATAATAAAAGGATAGCTCTTAGAAATTAACGAAAACGGAAACTACTAGTAATAATAGCTAAATATAATATTTAAGGTATAACCTAATAACTTAACTTATTAAAAGATCCTAAAATAAATATAAGAATATAAAGTACTAAATAGATATAATATAGGATATTTAAAAGTTTTAATATATAAAAATAAAATCTAGATACTACTAGAATTATAAGATAAAGTTATATAAGATATATATAAATCTTTAATATATAGATACTAGGGAATCTAAAGAATAATAAAATAGATTAAACGATAATATAACTTTTTATAGCTTAAAGAAATAATATAATAAGTTATTAAAGAATATAAACTTTATATATAAAGTAAAGCTAAATAATATAAACTATATAAAAAATTATAACCGCTACTAGTACTAGAGAAACTATAGGATTTAATAGCTTTTAACTATATTATAAAGCTATTACTATTAAAGAACCTATAATTAACGTTAAGTATAATAGTATATTTATTATTATTAATAGATTAATAAAGTATAAATACTTTTTACTATATAAAGAAGTAAGTAATATAAAAGAGCTAGTATATATATTCCTATAAATAATTATTAGTAATTATAGACTATTAAATAAGATTATCTTTAATAAAGGAAGTACGTTTATAGCTAAGTTTTAGTAAGCTCTTATAGTATAATTAAGGACGAAATATAAGCTTAGTATAGCTTATTACCTATAAATAGATAGATAAATAAAACGACTTAACTAAACGCTTAAATAATATTTACGATACTATATTAGCTATAAATAAAACGATTAAGTTAAATAGCTACTAATAATATAACTAGCTTATAATAGCTTAGTTATAGAAATAACTAAGCTCTTATTAGTATATACTAATTATAGATATAACCTAGAAGTATTTAAGGTTACTTAATAAGGACTATAAGCGGAATAAGTAATACTATAAGTAGATTAGTTATAAAAATTATATAAAGAAATATAATAAGAACTTTAATTTATTAAAGAATAAATATCTACTTACTATAATTAAAAAAGATTATAGGGACTAATCTTTTAAGAAAGGGATATAGTCTACCTTATATAACGAAATATTAAAATAAAATAACTAAGTAATAAATTAGATTTTAAGAAACTTAGCCCGTTTAAGGTTAAGAAAATTATTTTAAAAGTTAACTATAAACTTTCGCTACTAATAATAATATAGACATACCTAATATTTTATATCTTATTATTAAAACTAGCGCTATAAAACGCTAAACTATAGGAAAAAATTAAAGTTAACGATAATTAAGAATATAAAGTAAAATAAATACTAAATATAAGAAAATAAGGTTAGTAATAAGAATACTTTATTAAGTAAAAGGGATATAAATTAAAGGAAAATACCTAGGAACTACTTAAGCACTTAACTTACTATAGTTCTTTACTTTAATAGTTTTACTAGTAAAATCTACCTTAAGTATCGTAAAATCGCTTAATAAACTAATAGTATTTTAATTAATTATATTAAATCTACCTATAAACTAAATATTAACTACTACTTTAAATTCTTAGCGCTTAGCCTTATTAAGGTTATTTAAAGAATAAAGGCCCTAATAAACTATCTTAGTACCCTTTATCTTTAGCTAGCGCTTTTAATAGAGAAGCCGTGCTAAACGAGCTAAGGCTTTATTTAGGTTAGCTTAAGCTTTTAATATTTACTCCTTAGTAATTTCTTCTTTTTTATTTAATCGATCGGACTTTAGATTTATTTAAGATACTAGGAAATATATTAGCTATAAATAATAAGTAGGATAATAAAGTTATATATAGGAGCTAATCGGTATACTTAACGTATTATAGGAATAACCCTACTATATATATTTAATATACTTAAAAGATTTCTCTAGTATTTTATAATAGAAGCCGTATAATAAATAAAAAGAATATAGTATAACGTTACAACTAAGATAATTAATAGACTTAGCTAAATAAATACGCTTAAGGGTCTTATATAAACGATCTTTTAATACGCGACTAGATATACTATTAGTAGTATATCTTAAAGGATAGAAAGGACGAAATAAGGAATATATATATACGCGATAAGGGTATATTTATATATAACGGCTAAGGTAGTAGTAGGTATTACGGATAAGACTAAAAGGAAGGGAGATATTATATTATAACTATAGTTAGCGGGCTATAAGAGAGCTAGCTATATTTATATAATAAGGCAGCTTAGAATAATAGTTAAGATAAGAAGTTACTTAAGCTTAGCTTACCTAAAGTATATATAAGCTAAGTAAGCCTTATATAAATAAATTACTACTTAGGAGTATAGCTTATAAGTAAGCTATAGTAAGCTATAAAGGGGATTATAGCTAGGACCGTAATCTAAGGATAGTCTTTATAAGTATATATAGCTACCTACTTTTACTCTTTTAAATAGATAGCTCTCTAGCTTTTAATATAGATCTTTATTACGATTCTATCTTTAATTTTAATTACTTAGTTATAGTTTATAGTCTATAACCTTTAACTTATTACTAATATAATATACTTATTATTACTTAGACCACGCCCTATTATATCTATTAATATAAACCCCTTAATAGGTTTATCCCTTAAAAATAATACTAGTTATTATAACCTAAACCCTTAGTAAGCGGGCCTCTTAGACTAGTATTACTATATTAGTCTTAAGGTAAACCGGTATTATTATCGCTTATCTTCTTTATATAAAGTATATTAACTTACTCTTTAATAGTTTAAAAGTAACTATAAACTTAGCCGCTTACTTTATATATACCTTCTAAGCCTCCTTTAAGTATACTATTATTATTACCTTATTAAGTCTAATACTAACTATATTTATATTATTAGCGAAGCTAATAGTATAAATACTATATATTATACTA